TATAAATATCTTCTGTCATAACTTTTCATGGGTATACTCCCACTCTGCCTTCCACACACACTCAGCCTTTGTGTCTATCCAGGATTGTGTATACAACATTATTTGCCTCTATAGATTTTAATTCTTGCAGTCTTGCCTGTGTTTTCCCCTACCGCCAGCATTTTTTGCTGGTCTCCTTCTAATTGTATATTGCCTTCCCCTTCACCCAAGTTAACACTTGTCCAACATCTATCCAGTGACCTCTTCCACTCCTGGTAACCTTTCGAAGAATGGTTCTTTTAGTGCAAAAACCTTTTCTTGATGTTTTACAACAGTGTTTTCATACAGCATTTGTCCTTCTATGATTGACTAATTTTACTCAGCATAATGTCCTCTAGATTCAACCATGTTATGAGCTGTTTCATAGATTCACTACTATTCTTTAAGGATGAATTGTGTGCATGTACCAAAGTTTGTTTATCCATTCTTCCATTAATGTGCATAAAGATTGTTTCTCTTTTTTGCTATTGTGAATACTACTGCAATGAACATGGGTGTGCAATTATCTATTCATGTTGTGGTTTTTATTTCTCTAGGATATATACCAAGTAAAGGAATTGCTGGGTCGTGTGGTATTTCTATTTTCAACTTTTTAAGGAAGTGCCATATTGTTTTCCACAGTGGTTGCACCATTTTGCAGTCCCACCAGCAGTGTGAGAGAGTTCCAGTTTCTCCACAGCCTAATCAGCATTTGTTGTTTTCTGTTATTTTTAACTCTGCTATTAATATTGGAATGAGATCTTTCATTGCTGCTTTGATTTGCATTTCTCTAATGGCTAATGCTCGCGAGCATTTCTTTATATTTCTGTTAGTCATTTAAATGTCTTCTTAGGTGAAGTATCTGTTCTTGCCCTCTACCCATTTTTAAGTTGAATTATTTGTCTTTTTATTATTGAGGTGCTGAAGTTTTCTATATATTTCAGAGATTAGCCCCTTGTTCAATATGGCATTGCTAAAAATGTTTTCCCTTTGAGTTTTCTTTTCACTCTTTTGGTGAAATCTTTTGATGCACACACGTCTAATTGTTAGGAGACCCCCATCGTATAATTTATCTTTCACTGTTTTTGTATCTTCAGTTATGCTTGATATTGTATTTATGCCACATATTGTTGTTGTTGTTAAGTGCCATAGAGTTGGTTCCGATGCATAGTAACCTTGTAGAGTTTCTGAGGAATGGTTGGTGAGTTTGAATCACTGACCTTGCAGTTCAAACCGACCTTGAGCTTATCCTGTGGCACTACACCAGAACTATTGTTGTTGTTAAGTGCTGTCAAGGCAGTTCTGACTCATAGCGACCCTGTATAGAGTTTCCTAAGAGAGCTTGTGAGCTTGAACCGCCAACCTTGCAGTTCAAACCAACTTTGTTGTCCAGTGCATTAACTCACAGAGCCAGGACTATTGCTGAGTGCCACTGAGTTGGTTCCGACCCTATATAGGGTTTCCAAGGAGCAGCTGGTGAACTTGAACCATCAACCTTGTGGTTCAAACTGACTGTGGTTCAAAGCGTCACACCAGAACTTCACCAGGATGATTAGAACCTCTAAATTTGTCCTGGTATAGAATTCCCCTCATCTATTATTTGTGTTCTTGTTGACATACATTTTACTTACAGATATGTCATAAACTTTAAAATACCTTATACTTTTGCTTTAAATAGTCAATTATCTTTTAAAAATTTTAAAGCACAGGGGGAAAAAATCACCTATTTTTATAATCTCATGCAATTTATTTTACTATTTAGAGAACATCTATGTTTTTTAAAAACCAAACAAACAAAAAACAAAGTTGTTGCTCAAGAAAGATACTTTTCTTCCTGATCAACACTGTTCTTCTCTTTCAGCCTCTGATTGAAAAGCTCTGGTACTGAAAATTTCATCTCTCCCTGCTGTTGTCAGGTGCTGTTGAGTTGGTAGTGATCCCCATGTGTGCAGACAGAACTGCTCCATAGAATTTTCAAAGCACCAGGCCTGCCGTTCAAGGCACCACTGGGTGGGTCTCAAGCAACAACCTTTCCGCTTTTAGCAGACGGCTTGACCATTTGCAATCCCAGGAAAGCCTGAGGAGATTATGTTGCTGTGGAGTCCGTTCCATTGCATAGCGACCCTGTATAGGATGGCTGGTGGGTTTAAACCACCAACCTTTGGGTTAGCAGTTCAGTGTTTATCCTGTAGTGCCATGCCAGGAGCCATCAAATAAATTTTGATGCAAAGTGACCGCAAGTTATAAACTAGAGCTGCCTGGTAGTTTTCTAGATGGTAGCTTTTGCAGGAGTAAATTGTCAGATCCTCTCCCACTGGGGGTGGAGGTGGGGTGGGGGGTGTTTGAACTGCCAACCTTTCATTAGCAGTTGAGTGATTAACCATGAAGGACTGAGGGCACGTCTCACTTTCCTCCTGGACTCTTGGTTTATCACGTGTAAAACATACGTACTCCATGGAAAAGCATTAGTGTTACAGTTCAGTGTTGGGAAGGAAGCGGATAGGTTATGGGTGCTCTAACAAGACCCACCAGTCACTCCAGGAGAAAGATGAGGCTTCCTGATCCTGTGAAGATGTAAAGCCTCAGCAACCCTACACAGGGTCACTATGAGTAGGAACCAACTTGACTACACTTACAACAACAACAGCAACAACATGACCTTAAAATCCAGATCTGTTTAAAATCTCTACTAGAGAGACCAAACTTTTTCTTTCAGAAATTCCAATCATTGTAGTTTTCAAACTACATTTAACCACAGCTTCGTTCAAGTAAAATGTCTCCTAATATCCTCACTCCCATCCCCCATATGCCTGGGGTTGAGTAAATATTCTCAGACTCTAACATCCAGATGGGGTCAGAGCAGTAAATATCTACACCCACGGTCCAGTCTAAACCCACCTTCATAAAGCACAGGGCATATGCAACATGCCTTAGACTTCTAGCAAGAATGACTCAGAGTCTGCCAGCCCTGAAATATTGAACGATTTATTGATCTCAGGAATTCTCAGGAAAAGGACAATAGAGGGTTACTTAAAGAAGAACAGAAGATGAGGATCCCAGTCAGAGAATCATCTTCTCAACAGTGCTATAAAAATGTCAACGTTCATTAATTACTCTCTATGCTTCAGTAGCTTTGCTAGGGGCTGTCTATTAAAAAGGACAGGTCTTGAAGGAGTCAGCTAGTAAGTCAACCACTAAGGTAGAGAGCACAGAAAGTGAGAAAGAAAAGCTGGGACAGGAATTTACAGGGCAGCTGGAATTCAGATGTCTCTTAAGTTCTCTTCTTTCACAGAAATCTTGTCACCTGCAGTAAGACACACACCATTAATGTCATCCCCAGGCTCAGGACTCTAAGCTCAGGCTACCTGCTCACTCTAAGTAATTAAAGAAAGACAAATTAAAACAGCAGTAATGTATTCCTTTATGCACATAAAAATGGCAAAATTAGAAAACAGTGATGTGGATTTATGAGTGGCAGAAATTTTCTTGTACCGCTAGAGGAAATATGAAAATACAGATTAGTGCAGACATTCTAATGAACAGTTGGGCAGTGCTTAGTCAAATGAAGAAGCTGCATCCCCAATGACCTTGCAGCCCCTTTCTAGAGTATATACATTCAGGAGATTTAGGTATATTTGGAAGCATTGCTTACAATAATGAAAAACTAAAGGCAATCCATGTTTCCAAAGGAGAATGCAGATAAGTGCATGCACATAGAAGAATACTATGGAACAGTCAGAAGCAACAGATGAGATGACAGATTTAGATTTATAATGTAATATGGCTTTAATTAATTAAAAATGCTTGTACATTAACACAATAGCATATATATAAGGATATAAGTACGCCAAAGGAAGCTCACACAACCTATTAGAATGTTTAGCTCCAGGGTCAGAGTAAGAGGTTAGATATGGCAGTAGGTACTGGGGAAGAGAAGGGAACAATAAATAAAAAGAGAATTTCCAAACACCAATGATAATAGTGATGATTGGCTTAACTCTCTGTTTGATAGCAGTATAAAAATGAATCATAATAACAATGGGTAATATGAACTCATCATCATGGGAAGACCATCAGTAGGAAAGAATGATAAAAACAGGTAGGTATATAGACTGTATTAAGTACCAGGCCCAATAGGAAACTATGGAACCCTAGAAGAAGTATTTGTACATGAGCCTTGCCATTCATGAGTGCAAGTGGTATTTGGTAGAGATAGAAAACAACCTGTCTATGTATGAAGCACCTACCACACTATTGTAATTGTGTATTGAAATATCTAACTGGTTCTGCTGTAGGCTACTTGAGAGTTTAGATTTGGCTTTTTTCTTCATAAAATAAAGAGGGAGTGGGACTGTGAACCACAAGGTCAACAGTTCAAACCCACCAAATGCTCAGAGCTGCTATATAGAGTGGCTATGAGCCAGAATTGACTCAATGGCACTTAAAAAAACAACAATGTAAGTACTGGACCATAAGGTCAGCTTGAACAGCAAGATCAGTGGTTCAAACCCATCATCGCTCCTTGGAAACCCTATGCAGGGTCGTTATGAGTAGGAACTGACTCGAAGGCACTTAAAAACAACAACATAGAATAATGCTTAGACAAAAAGTCTTGGATCCAGATTGCCTGGATTTGAAAGCTAGCTCCATTACTTCCTAGTGACCTTGGTCAAGTTGCATAGTATCTCTTTGCTTCTCTCTCTCATTGTAAAATGGTGCCAATAATAATACCTATCTCACAGAATCTTTGTGAGGATAAAATGAGTTCGTAGAGGAAAACACTCAGAATACTGCCTGACACATATTAAGCACTCAACAATTGATCAGTATTGTTATTATGTAACACAATGCTTTTAACCTATTATGAGATCAGTGTACATTTCTCAAATCAAATCACTTCCTCTCTCCTCAGATATGACAGTTCCCAGGCTTCCTCCTCTTTTACTCTGACTGAATCCTAAGATACCCATCCCCAGATTTACTCACAGGGGACCCCGGGCTCGGGGGTCACTACTGGATCGCAGAGCCCTTATGATGAGGATGGTGCCAGTAATAATGCCCATGAGGCCCACCGCCAAGCCCAGGGCACAGACCATAGTCTCTGTCGTCTCGGGCACCTGCATTGACTCCTGGGCCTCTGGGGAAAGAAGGAAGAGATGCAATCAGAAGGTACACTGAGAGGTAGGGATGACCTGGATGTGTGTGGGCATTGAAGGGTCTAGACCATTTGCTGGCATATTAGGTTAAGAAGAGGACTGAGAACTGGTGAGTGGGGAAAGGAGATGCTGAGAGCACCAGGCCCTGGAAATGACGAGGACCCAGGGAGGTTATTGAGGAGGGAAGGGTCTCCATACCCCAGTGCTTGAGGAGCGGCTGTTCCAGGCCCCAGTGCTCCACCTTACAGTCATAGATGTCCTCGTCTGAGGGCACAAAGGTCAGGTAGTAGAATTTGTGGAACTTGTAGTCTGTCCTGGGCAGATAGAGGCTTTCACCAACACCTTCGGTAACCATCTGCCCATTACGCAGCCAGGTGATATTGAGCACTGGTGGAAAGAACTTGTCGACATGGCAGATGAGAGTGTTGGGCTGGCCCAGCTCCACAGGCTCCTTGGAAAACACAATCACCTCGGGGGCATCTGAGAGGAGAAACAGGACATGGTGAGCCCCCTGTTCTGGGATGAATAAAATGACTTCACCTTTAGTGTCTCAGTATAATACTACCCCAATATAATACTTCATAGCACCTTTGGGTTCCTGAATCAGAACCAAGAATCTCACTCCACCGATCAGACTCATTCAGATCATCCTTCCTCTTGAGTGAGAAGGGTGACCCTCAGCGGTACTGGACTAAGCCCATGGTCACTCAGCAGAAAGTATCTAGGTCTCCCATCCTTTCTGTGGCACTGGCGCCCTCCCATCCCTTCCCAATGGGACTATAGAGAAAGAAACAAAGATTGGCATACCATTGGCGGCCTGGGTGTGGTTGGATCTTTTGATCATGATATCCAAGTTGTTCTTCATTACAGCAATGTTGGCCAGCCCACCCTGAGCCTCAAAGGAAAAGGCTCGGCCAAACTCTGGCAGACGCCAGACAGTCTCCTTCTTGTCCAGATCCACATAGAATTGCTCATCCTCATCAAACTCAAACATAAACTCCCCTGTTGGATTTTGTGTCTGTACAAAAATGGCATAGGTTGACACATGGTCTGCTGCATAAATAGAGCAGAGAAAAAGATGATCAAATTCAAACATTAACATGCAAGTAGTGGAAACTAGAAAATGGATAAATATTTATTGATAGAAAAACGTCAAGAGCAAAGAGATCAAAGAAGAAACAGGGATACAGAAGTAACAGCAAAAAGTAAATGATGAAGAGTAGAGGGTGATTCTGAAGAGGCACTATAGGATCAGCACTGAAAATCACAAGGTCAGTGGTTCAAACACACTAGCTGTTCCTCAGAAACTCTATACAGGGTCACTATGAGTTGGAAGTGACTCAATGGCCCTTTACAACAACATCAATAAAAGATAACTGTAATCCAAAAAGATGGAGAAATACATAAGAAAAGAGTACCATTGAAGAATAAAGATGCTTCCACTGATCTTTGAAAAAAAGGCATCTTGACCCTACACAAATAATTAATAGTGAGGTAACATTTATTGAGCATGTACTATGTACTAAGCATCATTCTACTTTATATAGAAAGGGCTTCAAAAAGTTCATGGAAAACGGAATTAAAAGATAATGGAATTTCTCCACCAACTTTTTGAAGGCCCCTTGTATAGTTACTTATTTAATGTCTCAATAACCTTTTCAGTATGCATTCATACTGTAGTATGCATTCATTCCATTTTTCAGATGAGGAAATGTAGAGAGTTTAGGTAACAAGTACAAGATCGTACAGCTATGGTAGAACTAGAGGAGAGATTCTCTCTACCCATAAGGTCTCAGAATTCTAGGACTACAGATATGAAAGTATTTTTAGAGTCATCAAGGCCAAGGAATTCTATTTTTCCCATTTAAACAGAAAGGAATGAGAAACAGAAAATTAAGAGATAGAAAGTATCCTTCAGGTTTTAGTCTTCTTTATAGTTTTTAAGTTTCCACTTTAATTAATGAACGTAAAACTGCAGAATGCTCCTTTGTTCATGATAGTGTTTATTTTAAGCATTTTAAATTCAAAAGTATTGTCATTATCTCAGCAATGACTCTAAACATTCTGTTTGAATTTGTTCTTTATTTTTAACTTGTTGCCTATTGGATTTAGGTTATTTTGTCTCTTAATCTTTATTAGTTTATAAAAAGGGGTACAAACATGAGAACAAAAGAAACTGTCATCATTAAATAAAACAATGAAAATAAGAGAGTTTCTGGGTTTAGAATGATGGATAAATAGGAGTGAAAAGAAACTTTAGGGGCTACCTGGCTTAAATTGCAAATTCATGAATGTTCCAGATAGCAGCCCTAACATGTAAAGATTCATCATGTGCTTATATACTTCTGTTGCTGTCGTTAAGTGCCTTTGAGTAAGTTCCGACTCATAGCGACTCTGTATAGGGCTTCCAAGGCTTTTAAAATCTTTGCAGGAGTAGAAAGCCTTCTTTTTCTCCTGCAGAGCAGCTGGTGGGCTTGAACCATGGACCTTGATGTTCACAGTTCATTGCACTTCTATTGTTGCTGTTAAGTGCCGTCGAGTCAGTTCCGATCCATAGCGACCCTGTGTAGTATTTCTGAGGAGTGGCTGGTGAGCTTGAACCACAGACGGACCTTGTGGTCCAAACTGACTTTGCAGTCCAGCACATAAACCCAAAGTGCTACATCAGGACTCCAATGCACTTCAAATGAGAGGGAAATCATCTCTCCACAAAGAAACTTAGGCTCCTCTTCTGTGTTAAAAGTATAGAGGAATCACTTTCAGAAAAGAAGGTAAAATGAAAAGGGATTAAATCCTGTAAGGATTACTAAGAACAAAATTGCCTGCAGGAATAGAATGAGTACTTCTTTATAAGCTTTTCAGACAAATTCTTGGGTCTGTAAAAAAAATCTGATACAAATTATTTTCTTTCAAATATATTCTTATGCAGGTAATAAATCATTATAAACCTACTATCTGCCAAATATTGTTAGACAGTGAAGATTCAAATTATTGCCTCAAAATGCTTACAATCCACTAAGAAAGACAGACAAGTAAAAAGACAATAAGGCATGATTTCATAAATGCAGAAATATTAGTATGCCCAAGGTACTATTAGGGACACAGATGAAGGACATTGAATCCAAATAAGTCATTAGATAAGGTTTCTTGAAGAATATGTTACTTAAATTTAGATAGTGAGAAACAAGAAAAAGATATTTCTTGCATACAGAGAAGAATGCTCAAAAGCATGACATACATACATACATATGGAGAACAACCAAGAATCCAGTATGGAGGCAGTTAAGGTTGGATATGAGACAGCACATTAGAAGAGAAAGACGCAAGTGGGAGTCAGATGATAGTAGACTTTGCATGCAAAGCTCATTTTAAATGCTATCCTGGAAGTCACAGAATTATTGATGGATTTTTAAACAGGAAAGTGCAATGAAAAATTTTCAATTTAGAAAGACAATTATGGCAACAATCCATAGGAAGGAGCCCTGGCCGTGTACTGCCTCTTGGTCTATTACAGGTTCTTCATGAGCACAATTAAGTGTTCCAGAATACTCATTCTCCACAATGTTGTCCATAGCTTGTAACGATCCACACTGTCAAAAGCCTTTGCACAGTAAATAAAGCACAGATAAACATCTTTCTGGCATTTTTTGCTTTCATCCAAGATCCATCTAATCTCAGCAATGGTATCCCTCAGCATAAATATCCTCATCTGAATCCAGCTTGAACCTCTGGCAGTAATCTGTCAATGTACTGTTACAACCATTTTTAAATTTCTTTAGCAAAATTTTACTTGCCTGTGAGAGTAATGATATTGTCCCATGATTTCCACATTCCATTGAGTCACCTCTCCTTGTAATGGGTACAAATATGGATCTCTTCTAATCCAAATTTCTTGGCATAGATGAGTGAGTCCCACCAGTGCTGCATCAGTTTGTCGAACAATTTCAACTTGTATTTCATCCATTCCTGGAGACTTGTTTTTTGTCAATGCCTTCAGTGCACCTTGGACTTCTTCCTTCAGTACCATTGGCTCTTGATCATATGCTATCTTGAAATGGTTGAACGTCATCCATTTCTTTTTGGTACAGTGACTCTGTGTATTCCTTCCATCTTCTTTTGTTGCTTTCTACATCATTCAATATTTTGCCCATAGAATCCTTCAATATTTCAAGTTGAGGCTTGAATTTTTCTTCAGTTCTTTCATCATTTTGCCCCCAATGTGCCCCACCATATTCTTGGATATGTTTGCAGCAAAGATAAATACACATGTGCAAATATCCTCTATCAAACCTTTATATATTTGTGTATATTCTCCCACTCACCCTCCCATACCTGTTCAACCTTTGTACCTATTCATGTATCTCTGTTGTTGCAGGATTGTGTATATAATAGTATTTACCTCTGTTCCCTTTAATTCTTGCACTTCTCCCAAAGTCTTCCCCTGCCTTCATCATACTTCTGCCCACCTCCCTCTTACTGTCTGTCTTCTAGCTCACTGTCTATCCACCAGTAAATTACTCTCTCTCCCTCTCCCAGTAACAATCAAAGAGGTTCAAGTCAGATACAGAAGAGGATGTGGAATGAGGGATATCATTGCTGGTGTAAAATGGATCTTGGCTGAAAACAGAGAATACCAGAAAGATGTTTGTCTGTGTCTTACTATGCAAATATTCTCAACTGTGTCAATCACGACAAGTTATGGACAGCATTGTGGATGATGAGTATTCAGGAGCATTTAATTGTGCTCAGGAAGAACCTGTATATAAACTGAAAGGCAATCATTCGGACAGAATAAGGGGACACTGAATGATTTAAAATTAGCAAATGTATGCACCAAGGTTGTATTTTTTCACCTAGATTTTTCAAGCTATATGTAGAGCACATAATCAGAGAAACTGGATTATATAAAGAAGAATGTAGCATCAGGATTGGAAGAAGACTATTAACCTGCAATATACAGATGATAACAAACTTGCTTGCTGAAAGTGAAGAAGATTTTACTGATAAAGATCCAAGATCACAGTCTTCAGTATGGGTTGTATCTCAATGTAAAGAAAACAAAATTTCTCACAACTGGACCAGTAAATAACATCATGATAAATGGAGAAAAGATTGAAGTTGTCAAAGAGTTCATTTTGCTTGGATCCACTATCGACACTCATAGAAGCAGCAGTCAAGAAATCAAAAGATGTATTTCATTAGGCAAATCTGCTGCCCAAGACCTCGTCGAAGTGTTCAAGAGCAAAGATGTTAGTAGTTTGAGAACTAAGGTGCGCCTGACCCAAGCCATGGTATTTTCAATAGCTTTATATGCATATGATAGTTGCCTAGTGAATAAGGAAGACAATAGAAGAATCGCTGCATTTGAGTTATGGTACTGGAGAAGAATATTAAAAGTACCATGGACTGCTAGAATAACAAACAAATCTGTGTTGGAAGAAGTACAGCCAGAATGATTCTTAAAAGAACATTATCAGGAGGGAGCAGTCCCTGGAGAAGTCCATCATGCTAGGTAAAGTGGAGGGCCCATGTAAAAAAGGAAGATTCCCCAATGAGGTAGATTGGCACAGCAGCAGCAGCAGCAATGGGCCCAAGCTTAACAAAGATTGTGAGAATGGTGCATGACCAGGCAGTGTTAAGTTCTGTTGTGCAGCAGGTCTGTCTGAGTCGGCATCGACTAGACGGCACCTACCAATGACAGCAACAAGTAAGTAGAGATAGGGAAGATAGATGCTAAGGCACATGAAATCATTAAAGAACCAAGAGCCCTCCGATCCAACAGAGAAAGTCTCCTTTTAGAGCTGGCACCTAAATTCAGATTTCTAGTGTCCTTACTTTTGAGAAAATTAATTTTTGTTTGTTAAATCCATCCACTTGTGATACTTCTGGCATAGCAGCACTAACTATTAGATAACTAAAATAGTTAGTGTCTGGTAAATTGGCTATTATTATTACCATCATCATTAGAATGAGAGAGAACAAAGGGGCATTTCACTAAAGGGAACTAAAAAGGGAGGAAAACAGATCAACGAGTTCTTAAAATCTTTAATTTCTACAGCAACAATTCATGGAAACCTGCTCCTACTCTCATCCCAACCCTACTGCATCCACCTTAACACTCACCCTTGATGGCCCCAGTACTTTGAAGACTCAGCAGAAAAACCAGAGCTCTTAAGATTACAGCTTTGGTCTGGAGGACTTTCTCTTCTGAAGGCATGTTGTGGGGTCTATAATGACCACTTTAAACACAGGAAACAGAGCTGAGTGGAGGTAGACAAGAGCTTGGAAAATGTGAGCTTGTACAACCTAAAAATGGCCAAAAAAAGTAGACTGGAAACAGCTTCAGTAGATTCAGCCAATGAAAGAAATAATAGAGCTGACATCCTCTGTTGCTAGGTAAAGAGAATACTGAAAGGGGCTGAGAAAATAGATGGAAAAATCAGAGACTAACATGGCCCAGATTTCCAAGTACAGTTGATTTTTAGGGTTACAGGAAGAGACTAGAAAAGATAAGTCATACAAACATTCCTCTGAAGGAAGTTGTTTTATATTATGTTATATTTATCATATAATTTCATATGTGATTGTTATGACAACTAGAAACAAGTCTTCTTTCATTCATTTCCCCATCCCCATTCCCACCCTCCCCTCCGATATTCACATTAATGTGGAAGATTTTGTCCATTATTCTTTCTAAGTGATTTAAAAAAATTTTTCATCAAGGTTACAAAATTATTCTGCTAGCATTTAGGTACAAATGCATTATCTAGCAAGGAATATAATTAACTTTCTTCCCACCTACTTGAGATAGTCTTCTTTTTATTTAATTCTTTATGTAAAAGTTTTATGGTTTCATTTAGAGGTCTTAACATGAATTATTTTGATTTTTAAATAACTTCCTATTCCTGGTTACTTTTGTTAGTAAAATTTTCAGATAATTTTTATTATATAATTCTTATTTCTTTTTATATTGTTGTAAATATATATGTATATACAACACAACATTTGTCTATTTGACATTGTTCAAGTATACAATTTAGTGATACCAATTACATTAGTCATCGTTCATCATGTTGGTAACCACCATTCCTAATAACTTGCCAACTTTTTTATCCTGATAAACAGACACTAACATTGGCTCCTCTTTTCCCCTCCCTCCCATGCCTGGTACTAGTAAGTTTTGGTATCCATACCTTGTTATTTCATATATGCAAGGTCACGCGATATTTGTTCTTTTGTGATTGACTTATTTCACTGATCATAAGGTGTTTGAAAGGAGCTCTGGTAGCGTAGTGGTTACGCATCGGGCTGCAAACCACAAAGTCAGCAGTTCGAAACTACCAGCTGTTCCGCAGAATAAAGCTGAGGCTTTCTGCTCCCATAAAATTTACAGCCTCAGAAACCTTGTACAGGGTTGCTATGAGTCAGAACCGACTCCACGGCACATAACAACAACAGCAAGGTGTTTGAGGTTCATCCATTTTAGAGAATGAATCAAGACTTCATTTCTCTTGGCTAAGTAGTATTCCGTTGTATGTATATACTGCATTTGGTTTATCCATTCATGCATTGATGGACATTTGGCTTAATTCCATCTTTTGGTTATTGTGAATTGCCCTGAAATGAACATTGATGTACATGTGTCTGTTCACACTGCTTTCGGGTCTCTTTCAGGATGTCCTATACTTAGGATTGAATTTGCTGGGCCATATGGTTTAATTCTATGTTTAATTCTTTTGTGGGAAACTGCTAAACTGTTTACTATAGCAGCTGTACTGTTTTGTACTCCCACCAACAATTAATAAGAGTTCCAATTTCTCCACATTCTCATTAACATTTGTTATTTCCTATTTTTGTTTCTTTAGTTGTTTTTCTTAGTCACATCCTAGTAAGAGCAAAGTAATTTACCATCACAGTTTTTATTTGCATGTCTCTATAGCTTCATATCTATTATTTGAGTCTTCCAGGTATGTGAACAGTCTGAAAATAACACTGATATTTCTCTTAAAATTATTATCCCTTTTATTTCATTTTCATGTAAGCATGTCCAAGATGGTAACAATTGGCACCTTTATGTATTTTTAAGAGGGATTTCTAATGCTTTTCTATTACATGCAATGTTGTATACTCTTTTTATCATAATAAAAACATTACCCTTGAGTTCCTATTTCAAAGATTTTTAGTTTAAATACTTCTTGGATAAGGTTACAGAACATTGAATGTAACAACAAAGGATACTCTGTTCATTTTTTATTTTATGGTAGCCTTGCATTATTAGTAAGTATTATGTATAGTCAATCAGTCGAGAACGAGATGAGGCTTTTTGCTCCTGCAAAGATTCTTAGCCTCGGAAACTCTATACAGTGAGTTGGAACTAACTCAACAACACTTAACAACAACAAGTGAATTAGTGTGTTCCAGATGTTGTGTTTCGTGCTTCAGAATATTATTTTATTTAGTCCTCAGATCAAACCTGAGACAGATATTGTTAATGTCCATTCTAAAAATCAATTACCCAAGACTGGAGGGGTGAAATATTCTCTCCAATCTTCTACAACAAGTGAAGTGACCAAAAAAATGGAGTCAAACACAGGCAGTTTTACTGCAGAATCTCAGCTTTCTCCCACAGTGTTGTGCTGACTCCTGATTCCTAATAGACACTCATAATTGTTTCTTGTATTTTATAAGCTAGCATTTTACTTACATCTTAATTATCCATGTTAATAAATGATGCTAGACAGAGACAAACTTACTATAATGACAGTCCTATAGAGGAACCCTGGATCTCTGTACCGCTCATTGCTAACAGGACTAAATATTCCTTACAACAGAGACAAGGCAGATAAAATCCTGGTCTCATGCTGAGTTCTGAAATAGTGTTTACTCACTTCTAGACTATATTTTAAGGGGATATGAGAGGTGACAGGAATGGGGAGAATGATGATGCCCATACATGGGCCATTAGAATGTTCAAGATCAGTTTCAGAGCAAGGAAAACATATAATGTCTCCAAACTGCATAATTTATCCAATTGCTCAAATGAGTATCACAGCCCTCCATCTATCATCTTAAGAGGATCATAAACTTACACTGTCGGACCTCTCACACTAAGCTCCTACCCAGTGAGTGATGACTCATTACAAAGCTCAGTACTCATTGGCTCCTTTATCAGAGTCTGTCTAATCCCAACGTACATAGGAGTCAATTCTGGTTCATGATCTCTGATATTTCAGAAAGGATCTCTATTTACTGAGTCCTTCCCTGATGGCAAGTCTATATTACTCCCCATCGTTTTCTGGCTCCACGATGGTCACTTGGACACTGGCTCTGACAGTGTTACTGATGATGCTGAGCAGTCCCATGGTCCAGGGCAGGGCCACTCCAGGTAAGTGCAGAGCAGCCATTGCTGGAGGTCCTGTGTCAGCGATCATCTCCCAGGAGCCTTTCCCTGTAGGGGCCCAGCCTCTGAGGCTGTGCAGCTCCTGTCATAGCTCAGGGTCTTCCTTTTCCAGCTGGACAATCAGGCTCAGCCCCTTGTTCTTAACTAGTGACCCATTCTCTTTCCCGGGGCATAGACACAGTGATTCAGGGAGAGGAGATGCTGCCAAGGGTCAATATGCCTGTCTGTTGTGGAAAGTAAGATACAGAAGTCTGGGTTAGCTCTTGAGGGACAAGAATGAAAAAGAAAGTTCAGCAGGGTCACTTTCTTGGGAAGCCTCACTTCTATATCTGAACGTGTAGGAAAGCAGAGAAAACCCTTGACTGGGATGTCCTGACTCTTGGCATCACCTGCTGGTTCAGTGCTCAGGGAGATGGCTTTATTCTCTAGGGCAACGGAAGTTCCTAAATCCCTTGGACAGTGATGGCAAGAGGGGAGGAAGGTGGCAAGAGAGGTTATGGTTCCAGAAATGGATTAAATTCTTGTTGAAAGTGATTTCACTACCATTCCAGAACTTGGTCAGGGTGTCCTTCGCTAAGGCTGAAAAAGGAATGTTCATTTCATTTATTCTTGTTGTTGTTAAAGTGATTCTCACTGCCTTTCCAGAACTTGGTTAGGGTATCTTTAGCTAAGGCTGAGAAAGGAATGTTCATTTCATTTGTTCTTGTTGTTGTTAAGTGCCGTCAAATCAGTTCCGACCCATAGCGACCCAGTATAGGGTTTCCAAGGAGCAGCTGGTGAGTTTGAACAGCCGACCTTGCAGTTCAAACAGCTTTGCAGTCTGGTGCATTAACCCACAGCACCACACCAGGACTCCTCATTTCATTTAGATCTGTGGTTTTCACACCATATTTTGGATAACTTAGACTTGTTCCAAGAGTTCCTCAAGTAGTATATAGATAAACATACACTTTCATTAAAAAAAAAAAAAAAATTAAGTTTTAAAATAACTTTTTTAAACTGATATAAATGTTTCCTGACTGTTAAATGAGGAAGGAGTATAAGGAACAACCTACTACTATTACAGGGAGTACATCCAGAACTGGGGGATTTAGGTGAGGAGTAGCAATTGGCTGACAGACACAGAAGAACTTCTAGTGTGAAGGAGACTAGGGGTTCAGAGGGCACAAAGCACAAGAGAGGAGACAGGTCGGGAAATCTGAGCAAAAAAGGGGCACTGTCTGGGCACTGACACTGCTGACTGAAGGTTTTCATGGTAAATCCATTCTTTTCTGTCATCTGCCACCAGTAGTACAACTTCTGGCGAGCAGTGAAGTAGGACCGAATTCACCAGATGAAGTAAAATTATTCTGAAAATCACTGTGGGGACCGTGGTAGCCTCAGATCAGCCTCATGCCTGCTGCTTTCTTGTTCCTGCAACCTCTGGACCTATTTTCTTCTGTTCTCCAAAGATCCCCAATATTTAGAGCTGGAACTGGCAACCCTAGCTTTGTGTGGGGCTTTAGGTTCCTCATATTTGTTGAAATCTCTCCCCATTCCTTTTGCTTAGCCTTCTTCAGATATGGCTAAAAATAACCCATAGGTCAACCTACTTAAAAATACGTATGCAACCCCACCACATCTGTTCATCACATGTGGTCTCAGAAGTTGTTTGATAAATTGGAAGTGCTATTTAAATTCGTAATATTCATTTTAATGAGGCAACAGAGTTCGTCATTTAAAAAAAGACAAAGTTAATAAGCTTTTTCTACTTCCCTTTATTCATTTTGTTTGCTGAGTCATTCATTGATACACAAAGATTTACTGAGCATCATACAGGGTCGCTATGA